TTATTACGTTTACAAAGTACTAGGCTCCATATTACAAGATAATGCCTCAGCTTGTCTAGTTTAGTTTCTGCTAGGCTGAACTAACCACATGGACCTATCTAATATCCGGTGTTTTCTCTTTAGGAGTGTGCCATGTGTGCAGAATTGAAGCTTCAGTTGCAGAATGTGGAGTCAGATCTTGTTGAAGCAAACCATCTCCGCTCTTCCTCGGTTTCTGAGGTTTGTATTCTATGGACCACTGTTAACACTCGGCACTTCTTATATGGTCTTTGTGCTTATCCTTATTGCATCCTTTCTTTTAGTTAAACGAACTCAGAGAGAAACTTGCCCAGGCTGGGAACAATTCTTGCGACTTGCGCCATGAAATCAACTCCTTACAGACAGATCTGGCAAATTCGTCGGACAAACTGCTAACCATAAAGAGCACAATAATGAGCTTCATTAGTGAAGTTGACTCGGGACAGTGCATTTGTTCAGGAGACACTTCAGGCGTTGATCGACTCCGGCTTGCTACCACGGCTCCCCTCCAGTGATTCTTTGCAAGCCTCTTTGTATAGTCCTATGCATTTGATGTTTACTAAAAATTCCCCCGCGCACCAATGATTACTCGCAGTTTTATGCGTCTTGTAAGATATTTTTGAGAAAAAAGTTTTTCCGTGATACTCTCCTTTCTACCTATCGGGTTTTTATTCGACGACGGCCGTGTCTTTGTGCATTTCATCAACTTTAAAGTCAGTATTACTTTTTGAAATCTAAAGACATGCGTTCGCGTCCACCGCTGCAGTTTGACCGTCAGCATGAATGGTCGTTGCGGCTATTCGGTAGTTAGTATTATCTTCCAACTGTGTGCGGACCCAGCATGCTACCAAACGGGGTAAGATAATCCCATACCATCCTCCCGAATGCTTGGTGTGTTTAAAGTACAGGCAGGCAAGTAGTACAAGGGAAGACTATCCTGTTCAAAGGGGCAGGGACAGCAGATTAATTTATGCGTACTTATAGATACATGGTCGGTAAATGTGTTCTGGACATTTGGGCAGTCCGTGCGCTGTGTAGTACATAATCCTAACCTAGGGAATGCCCTCTAAGGCTTCCTAAGGC